ACGGACGGATGCTTGCCAACCACCGTTGCTCGTTGCCGTTTCACGTTATGTTTTGGCGCGTCGACCTCTGTCTGGCAAGACTGGCTACCCCCCCTCCCCCCCCTACCCCCAAGCAAGCGACCAACACAGGCTATCCCCGCCCCTGTGACTTTTCATGATGGCTGGATCGCGCCAGGAAGAGGGAGCTAGGCCGCAAGATCAGGTCATCTTGCAACCGCTCCGAAGCGCGCAGAACAGACGAGCGACTTTAGATCCGCCCATCCCACCCCCCTTACGAGTGCTCCCCGCTGCGTTTCTTTCACTTCAGCTCGTCTGGCCCTGTCGGCGTCATCAGGAGCTGTCCCCGTACTGCGAGCTATGCAGCGCCCGTGACGCGATCCTTTGTTCAACGTCTAGCGGCCTTACTCGATATGCGCAAGGCCTCCAAGCCTTCTCCCTGCACCCCTCGCCCGCCCGTTCACACGGGCCTCTCGCGCGGCGCCTGCCTCCCCTCTAGTCTTGCTCCGTCTCCATGGCCATGCGAGCTGAGTAGGATCGACATTTTGTCGGTGCCATGTGGGCTCGGGGCCAGTAGGGCGAGGCAGCACCCGAAATCTTCTTGCTGTCAAACATTCAGCACAAGCCCTCGAACAGCTTCTTTGTGAGACAGGATAGGCAGGCTACTGACATCTCCTCCTTCGGTGAGCCCGGTGGCTTTTATGACGCATCCCTGACAACGAACATCAAGCCGCCTTCCGGCTTCCGGAACCGTATAGCACGCTAAGTCGGCTGTGGTCTCACCGAGAGTCTCCGGACTTGAGCGGGCTAGCTAGTCAAGCAAACGACAGAACGAGCAGGCCCACACCTTCATCATCTCTCGAGGTCGCCGTCCTGCGTTCGTGTCGAGTCGTGGTGCCATGCCCAATAACCGCGCTCCAAGGTTCATTGAGAAGAAGCCCTAGGCTAATGTTGCTGGCATCGCGTCAGGCCCCTCTCCCCCAGCCTGCCTCATACACGCCAGCCTACGGTGGCCATTCACTCTCCCTGTTCTTCACCATTTCGCATGCCACACATCAACATCTTACCTGCGTTAGTCTGCACCTAAGTGCCAACGTCCGTCTGCGGGCCAGATCGTCTGCATTAGCTGGTCTTGCTTGCATGCCCTCCGCTGCTTGAGCGGGACCACAGACCTGACTACCCAACGCCAGAACGTCCGCGCCCCCCCCTTCCCTCCTTACGATATCCAAATATACGCCCCTACTCCCCTCCTTTCCCCCTCAAACCACGCATATACTCCATAGTCCGCCGTTACCACTGCAGCCATTGAGCACGGACAAAGCCGAGTAATTGGCTGTCAGTTTGAAGCAAGAAAAAGAGCGCGAACAAGACCGATAATACCTCCGGCAAGGGTACCGCTGTTACACCCGAAGCTGCAACGTTGTCCTAGAGGCTTTGCCCGCGCCGACCCATCCTGCCCAACCCTGCTCTGCCCCTCACCATCCCGCGCGCGCCTTCTTGTACTTTCGGGAGGGGCGTTTAGGAATGCTCAATCACTCTGACCTACCGAACAGCTCTATTCCTCGCAGCCCCTACACCGCCTGATGAAGGGGGTGTCAGCGGAAAGGCTTAGATCTGGAAAGTTGCATGCGCTTCATGTCACCTGTTCATCCGATACCTGTGACTGTGTTAAAGGGTACCTGCCCTCACAGTGTCGGATGGACATGTCTACTACATTTCTCGCCTTGGCACTGGGCTGGTTGAAAGACCACTTTAGAACAACCCTGTCGTCAGTATACGTGTCGTTCTGTTGAGGCAGCAGGGAAGTACTGTCAAGTTGGTAGCCGAGTACAGTTGCGCGCGGGGACGGGACGGTTGGTATGCATGCGTGTTTGATTGTGTGTGTGTGTGTGTATGTGTTTGTTTGTGTGCGCGAGCGTGGACTGGACGCAAACAGACGATGAAGAGCCCCAGGAGCCCCTCCATTGCGCACCCACGCTCGCCACGCGATGAACGGAGATGTTTCAACCCGTTCGCGGATCATGGAGTCCACGTCCAGCGCAGACAAGATCCCAGGCGAAACCCAAAACGGCGTCAAAAAGCATGGGCTATCTTTCTTTCACCCTCTACAAGACGAGTTTGGGTGGGTCCCGTGTGCGAAATTTGGGCAAATTTGACAGAGATCGTACGCTCGCTTTTCCCGAGTTTCTTTGTTCTCGAGATGCCTGGCCTCACCCTCCCACCCCCCAGCTGACCGGAACCGTAGCGTTGGTCGCGTCACCTCTGTTTTAGGTGGGATTTTTTCTCTGTCTGTCTCTCTCTCTCTCTTTCTCGTCGTCTCGCCCCCCTTTTCCACGCCCCTCGCGCTCGCGCGTCCCAGAGTTTCCAGCCAGCCGCCCACCAGGGTGCGCGGCGGCGCACCATCCTGCCGGGTCTTGGGTATTTCGTTTCCCGTCTGGCGGGTTTCTGCCCACCCAGCGCCGGTGCACCCTGTGCCCCTCTCTCGTCTGGTGTCTCCCGAGAAAACCCTCAACGGGTACTCAGACCGAGAGCCGCGACACTTGGTGCGATCTTTGCTTAGC